AATGATGCTTGTAAGGAAAATTAAATGGTTAAAGAGGTTGAGTACATTATATTAAACTTATCTTGGAGCCTCATAATGCTGTTACAGTCTATGTCACTGTGTCCAGTAATGATGCTTGTAAGGAAAATTAAATGGTTAAAGAGGTTGAGTACATTATATTAAACTTATCTTGGAGCCTCATAATGCTGTTACAGGCTATGTCACTGTGTCCAATAATGCTCCTCATGACGACCGTGCATCTTGCAAATACCCATGTGGTGTAACTTCCATTTCATGAGGCTTTACCATAAGGCTGTCATGTATAAAAAACACCACTTCTTCCGACATGTTTTTCATGATCCATCTAATATATGAGGATGATAGCTCCCAGTACCAATTTTAACAGCCCAATCACACAGAAATCCAGAAGTACTGTGTCCAACATTACTGGTATGTCTTTTTATGGAATAACATGAATACCTATTCCATTCTTTGGCTGCTTGAGATTTGCAATGAATGAATGGAAGGTATGTCTAGAAGCCTTATCCTATTAGCCTCATTTCTCAGGTGGTGTTCCTTCTTGATTATGTTGTATGCTGTTGCTTTGTGCATGTGGACATTTTTTGCTACTAACCATTGTGTTCAAAGATTCCCACCTTACTTTATGATCCTTGCCCAAGTTGATCCAATTCCAAGTATATTCCCATCTCTGAAATTCTAAATCTCAGGTCTTAATGTAACTGTATGATTTAAATGTAGGAATAGTTATTGTCAGAAAGGGCTATTAAGAGATCAGTTTTCAGTTGCATCAGACTATCTAAACTACCTTTAAAAAAAATTAATGTTAAAAGTGTATTTCCATCTTGACTTTATATTGGCTGTGGTTCTCCTGTGACTTGCAGATTTGCATATTCAAAATAATTTTAATGTAATGTCCTCAATCTTTTGTATAATAATGCTATTACGTCCTTCCCAAAATAGATCAGTTTTCAGTTGCATCAAACTATCTAAACTACCTATTAAAAATAAATGTTAAACTGTATTTCCATCTTGACTTTATATTGGCTGTGGTTGTCATGTGACTTGCAGATTTGCTTATTCAAAATAATTTTAATGTAATGTTCTCAATCTTTTGTATAATAGTGCACTAGAAGGGATATAACTTGACTGATGTAATGTTTCTAGAAATAATTCAGATACCATACCTTCCCTCTGCTTACATAATTGCTTTTCACAACTTGTGCTGCCCTTTATTAGTGCAATTTTTGCTTACCACTAGCTTTGATGCTCCCACCTACCCTCACGTGATTTGATGTGGTATAGCTGCATTGTAGCATGCAAATAATCAAGCAATAACAATCCACAAATAGGAGTGTGACACATCCTCCTAGTACAGCTGACTCTCTCTATATATATATATATATACTGAAGAGCACTCTCATCACTTCTTGATTTGACATTCCAGTGTGCGGTTGTGATTGATTTTTGGTCTATTTTTCATATTATCATGTGCAATTTCGTTAAATACTATCGTGTTAACAACTTTAGTTTGTTGTCATTTCTTTCTTTCATTTTTTGCTAAAAAATGTTTTGTGGAAACTTTCTTTTCTTTTTCACATAATGAACTCTAAATTTCATATTACTACAATGGCTTCGGGTTCCACACTTTCAGCAGAGGAGGTCTCAGCCTTGGTGAGTTGCAAGTTAAAGTATATCCTGGAGAATCTATTTCTGAAGACAAAGATTTGGACAGCCTTTTTCCATCTCCTGCCTTTGCCATGCCTTCAATGTTCTACCCTTCTCTATGTACCTCGTGTTTTGTCTGCATTTTATCTCTTGTCTCTTTCCTCTGCATCTTATGATTCCTTCTTCGTTCTGCCACAATGTAAGATTATTTAGTCCCCCCACCCGATATTCGAGTTCATACTGAACAGTTTCTTACCTAATTATGTTGGGGTGCCAGCATGCCTTGGCCCCCATGTTTGGCTGACTCTCATGCTTTTGCATATCATAGATCTGAATTTCCATTTTTGGATTCTCAGACTTCGAGTCTTTGGTTCAGGCATGGCACTCCAATCCTGCTACTACACTACAGTTTTTTCCAGCCCAGTTCTCTAGTCTCCTTCTCATCCTCACTATCATCCTCATTCTTTCTCATTCATTCACCTCCTTTCCGAGTCTATCCACCATTTCCCTGATGGGTTTTTAGAGGATACACATGTTTTCTTTACGATGGCATGCTTATTTTCCATGGCTTTGTTCTTTAATACCTGGCTCTTTTGTTATTGGGATTTCCTTGGCAGGAATACCCTCTTGTCACTTGTGCATCTAACTGCTTCCTATTTATATGATCTCAGTGTGGCTCCTTTCTTGCACCAGTCTGTTTTTAGGAATCTCCCAGATACTTTAAAGTCTTGTGTGGAGGCTGCACATCAACATTCCTCCCTCTCCTCCCTTGTTTCTCATCTTTTATAATCCCCTCCTGCTCCTATTCCCATGTCTTCTTCCTTGCATCCTCCCCTCTATCAGTGCCATTTTCCTGGGTTTCTGTAGCAAGTCACCAAATTCCTTATCATCACATTTTCCAACATCAGTTTCATTGGTGACTATCCCATGGATTCTGGCACTGTGAAGTGTGGTTGGTCAGGTTTGCTCATCTGTGATGCCCTTTTGCCATGGAAACTTAGGTTCTTCAGGTTGTAACAGAAGGATTGTCTGTTTGTTTTTCTGCTCCTCCCCCTTTATCCCTATATCCCACATTTTTTCCGAGGCAGTTTGAGGTTTCTCGAACAAGGATGCTAGAGAACAAGTTTTTATTCCTGTCTGTTTGTTGTTCCCAAGCAGACCAGGGATTGGCATTCTGTTATCAATCTCTCCAACCTCAACCACTTCATTGACCTCCCATGGTTCACCATGGAGTCTTTCCTAGCCTTCCAACAGTTGTTTACTCCAGGTCTGTGGATGAACAAAGTCAACATCTTGGATGCTCACCTTCATATCCCAATTTCTCAAGCATACTCACTCAACCATTTTGTCTGGCCTCAACCCAGTATATCTTCTGTCATATGATCAGAGCTTTTGCCTACCATATTCACAACCAAGGTTTGTGGTTTCACCATTATATGGACAACTGGCTCCTTCCCAACAAACCTCTCACAACCATACCCATTTCCTCCAACAGGAGGTAGGTTATGTGGGATGGCTTGTGAAACTGGAGAAGTCCTTTATTGCCTCTACACAATATCATATTCATCTGGGAGTGGGTTTCAACACCTATCTCAGTAGGGTGCAGCCTTCACCTCTTTGTTTGAGAGTGAGGGAGAAATTGGTGTTCAAAGCAAAATATTCTACTTCTCTTCCTGTGCTCAAGGTTCTCTCTCTTTTGGGGACCTGGGCTTCCATGGAATCCTTCGTCTCATGGGGCCATGAACACATGTTGCATTCAGTGGGTGCTAAATGATCAATGTAATCTCATTTGGGATCCCTTGGACTCTGCCATCCTCCTCCTTCCTTCCCTAGAAGTCGACTTTGCCTGATGGCTCAATAGGGACAACATCTTGACAGGCTTTCCTCTGCCTCCTCCCTCTTTGATTTGCATCTCTGTACAGTTGCTTCTCTTATTGGATGGGGAGCATCCTTAGGTTGTCAGGAGATAGTTGGTCAATGGTTGAATCTTTTCTACACATCAACCTTTTAGAACTCCTAGCTGTTTTATCAGGCTTTGAAACATTTCATGCCAGTAGTATAGAGCCACCTGGTCATGATCCATTCCAACAATTCAACTGTTGTCTCTTATATCAATCCTCAAGGAGGCAACCCAGTCCTATTTGCTTTGGTTTCAAATGCTGGATCTCCTTTTCTGGGCCTTTTCTCAGCAGGTCTGTCTTCTTGCTTGTCACATCCCATGTGCTGTGAATCTTGTGGCAGATTGGCAATCTTGTCCAAACAAAATTTTGCTTCAATAGAGTGGTCTTTTGGTCTTCAATTGTTCAAGTGGTTATGTTCCCAGCTGGGTACACTCCTTCCCCTCTTCTGGTTTACACTTCTGCATCCTTCAGCTTTATTGTGGGTGCCTTCAGTCAGGATTGGACCAATCTTTTACCTGTATGCTTATTTTCCCATCCATCTTGTTCTCTGAGTTTTTTCTTTTATACAAACCACTCTGTGTCGAGTCCTTCTCATTACCCCATAATGCCTGCACCATTGTGGTTTCCACTGTTGAACCTCCTTCAATCATTTCCTCCTACACCTCTTCCACTTTCCCAATCCCTTCTCCAGCAACCTTAGGCCTCTGTCTTTCATTCCACCATAGCCACACTCCATTTTTCATGCATGGATTTTGTCCAGTTCCTTGCGAGATGATCTGGACTCTCAACATGGGTAGCCTTCCTTCTTTCTCACTTGGTCCACTCTTCTTCTTTGATGGTTTACCAACATAAATGGCACATTTTATATTGTTGGCCTTTGCACAATGGCCTCTCACTTTTTTGCCATATTTTTTCCTCCCCGTCCTTTTTTCATGTTTTGCTCCTTTTGCCTGATTCCACCACCCCACCTAGTTTCCCTGTCAGAATAGAATCTCAGTGTTGTCCTTCTTGCACTTAACCTTCCCCCCTTTAAACCTTTGGCCTCTTGCTCTTTGTACAACCTCTCCCTCAAGACATATTTCCTACTCTTCTTCACGTGTGGACATTGTAGGTCCAATATCTTTGCAATTGACATCTACCATATTCTTTATCACCATACTTATGCCCTCCTTTATCCAGATCATAGTTTTCTCCCTAAAATGTTGGTGGTGCATGAAGGGAATATCACCTTCACAATAATTTCCATCCCTTCCATCTCTCATTTGTATTCCAGATTGTCTTCTTTGTACAGTACAGACTCTGTACCGTTATTTCACCTGCACGACTTCCTTCTATGACTCTAGTTTTGTCTTTTTATACCTTGGATTTCTTCTCTACTCATGATCTTTCTTTTGTCACCCTTACCGGATGGGTTTGGCAGTATATTCATCATTCTTATACATCATTATCCAAAGATTCTCGTTGTATTTTTCATGTTTCCTCCCACCAGGTCCATCATCTCATCCTTTCCCTGACTGCCCACTACTGTTGTGCAGACTAGCATGTGGACTATGCCTCACACATTTATTACCCACTACCTGCATTATATTGTCCAGTTCCTCCTCATCTGGTTATCGCTTGCCACTCGTCACCTTTCTCCATAGTTCTTACTTTTTTATTTCTTCTCTTTACTGTGGCCTATCCTGGATCCCACTCTGTGGCGAGTGGTGCCTGTCCAGGTATTCTGAAATGTAAAACTGCACCATATGGCCATACAGGTCTATAATACTTATTAAAGAGATGAGGTGTCCCACAAAACCACTGGTGGTTGCCTCACAGTATCTTGCTTCATAAATAAGGCCCACACCAAATAGTATCAACTCATGAACTATCATGAGAATAGCAGTGTCAGGATCGTTGCCAATCCCTCCAGTCCTAGTTCAATAAACTTGAACCGGCTTGCTTTTCAAAATAGGGTTTTCATGGTCATCCATTACACTGTCTTATGGTGCTGTGTTCTTCTGGACTCCCCACCACATTACTACCCCCCTCTCCCAGTGGAGTACAGTAGTTCTTTCCACTTACCAGTTCTTAGGTGATGGACTATGGAGGCATCCTCCTGCATGTGACCAATTCCACTCAGTTGAGAGTAGGTTAATGGTGTTCTGTTGGAATAGATGGTGAGTACTACTCTTCTCCTACCATGGACTAGAAGACTACCCAATGCTGCCTGGTTTTGAACTGAACTACATGCAGTTTACAGCTCTGGCTGGCTCCCTCCCCCATCTTACTGCTGACTGGATGTTGGTCCCTGGGTTCTCTGGTGTTGGATCAGCATAGGACCAGCCAACATAAGCCCTCACACATGTGGTTGGTAGGGGCCCTCCTCCCACCATGGAACAGATGAAAAATTCCCAATGACACCTAATTTTAGACTGGAGTTGACCCAGTACATATGCATTCCCCTTACTACCATTATCCAGATTTTGGGTTCCTGGCTTACCTGATGTTGATTGTGTACTGGGTTTGCACGCGTGCCCTGGCTGGGTAGTCAGAACAGAAGTCATTTTTCCATTCTGCTTCCTGGTTTTGAGGTGAAGACAGTTGAGACCCTCCTCCTATCATGGACAGAAAGACAAATTCCTGATGCTGCCTGGTTTTGGACTGGAGTTAACCCACCAACTATGGTTTGATACACCCTAGCCACTCCACACCATCTGGCACATCCAATTACAGGTTGGACATACATCTTTTCTACCCAATTTAGTGACATGTATCTTTATAATGGATGAAGACTACACCTGGTACAGGATGTGTGTGGTCTCCCATGCATGTGACCCTGTACATTATATGGGTTTTCTTTGGGCACCTTTCAAAGAGTGCTCATCTAAGTAACTTTGCACTTTTCCCTCCATTTCAATGTGGGATTCTAGCTATTATGGAAGTGGAGGTAAGGTATTATATCAGAAATGAACAATTTCCTACACTGAAAATGTAGTTTTGATAGATACCTCTTTTCACACTTTTCATCCATCCTCCCCACTTCTAATGTGTCTATTTTGCCTAATCTCGAAGTGATGATTGAACAAGCAGCATAGAGGGAGTCAGCTATGCTAGGAGAGTGTGTGTCACACTCCTATTGGTGGAGGGTTGTTACATGTTCATTTGCATGCTACAACAAAGCTATACCATGTGAAATCACTTGATGGTAGGTGGGAGAATCAAGGCAAGTGAGCCACATGCATCATGAGAGTATGTCACACTCTTATTGGTGGAGGGTTTACCCATGATGATTTGCATGAGAGAAGCATTGAATCAGTCAATTTCAGTGGAGGGGAGATAGAAGGCTTGTGGCATGCATTAACAAGAATTGCACAAACAGAGGGCAGCACAAGTTGAGAAAAGCTATTATGTGAGCAGAAGTATCTATCAGAAATACATTTTCAGTGTAGGAAAATGTTAACTTCCATGAATCTTAATACACAACAAGATCTGTAGTAATTATTGCTCAACTTAATTAGTTCTTTATAGTTTGCAGTGTATATGAAGAAATGTTTGTCTGTACATGTACAAATTGACTGTCATAAAAAGAATAACTAAAACATGTGTGTGTATATCTATATGTGTGTGTGTGTGTGTGTATGTATGTATGTTATTTCAAATCTTTGAAGAATTAAGCATTTGTATTTAATTTTTATAAAATATAAATTTAACCTGAATTTACTCAAATTAAAATATTATTCTAATAAAAACCACTTTTTTATAGAGCCGACCTTCCTTCTACAAATGACTAAATGAAACTACTATTATACTATTATTAAACATTTGTATTTAATTTTTATAAAATATAAATTTAACCTGAATTTACTCAAATTAAAATATTATTCTAATAAAAACCACTTTTTTATAGAGCCACCTTCCTTCTCCAAATGACTAAATGAAACTACTATTATACTATTATTAAACATTTGTATTTAATTTTTATAAAATATAAATTTAACCTGAATTTACTCAAATTAAAATATTATTCTAATAAAAACCACTTTTTTTATAGAGCCGCCTTCCTTCTACAAACGACTAAATGAAACTACTATTATGTTAAGACGTAGTGGGCGCTTAGAGTGTCAGGTCACTGGAATACCCTATCCAGCAGTCAGGTGGTTCAAGGATTGGCATCCTCTCTATGAATCAAGTCGTATAAAAATTTTCACTGAAGAGCCTGACAAATGTGTCATGTATCTCAGTGGATCCATTCTGAAAGATTCTGGACTTTATTCTGTTACAGTGTCAAATATTGCTGGATCTGCCTCTTGCTCTGCAACTTTGTCTGTAGAAGGTGAAGATTGAAAATTTCATTTCTTAGTTGATAAGTAAAAGTCAAAATTTTGCTATCAGTAAAATATTTAAATGTTAAATTTTAAAGTCAAAATAATATAAATTTTTGCATGAAAATAGCCATGAAATACATATGTTTCAACATTTTTTAATTATTTTTTTTCTAATAATATTATAGACTCAAAGTAAGTATTGGCTATTAAATGACATTATTGTTATTTGAAAGTTCACATGTGAAGTTGAAAGATCTCAAATATTTTTGTAATTACTTTCTTACAATATACATCTTAGCTTGAAAGTTTCAAATGTTTAAGTAATGGTTCTTGGTTTGTTATAATTACACACGTATGTTTGAGGAGCTTTAAACACATAAATCATAACTTTATAATCACACATTATAATTTAAAAACTTATTAGCAATCTTGTTTGATTAAAAGTCACATAATTTATTTTTGGTAAGTGTCAATATGAGAAGCTGTAAAGTTCAATAGTGGAAAAGGCTGGTCACATAAATAATTATTAATAAGAACTTTTAAGTGAAAATAAAGAACAGTTAACCATATTATATCTGCTATATCCAATACCAAGGCTCTTCAGCCCAGCTGGGATATGACAGACATAGTAGTGTTTGAAACACTATTTATATTAGCAAACTGCTTGACATTAACTGTTATGGTATAAACTGGATTAATTTGGTGTCGTTTTTCATCAATTTGTATTTATTTCCCAACATGATTGGAATTTTCTCATCATGCACTAAAGTCTTAATGTTTTCCTAGTTAAGCAAGATTCAACTTGAAGCACTTTACATGTTATTATGTGTAAGTTTTTATTATTCTGATGTGACCTTAGTTCATTGCACTTAGTGATGTTGATAAGCTATGACATGTTATACATAGCTGTTTATTTGCAAACTTAATCAGTAAATTCAGCACACATTACCAGACAAATATTACATGACAGTTGAAACTCTCAAGTGATAGTGTTCTGTTTATATTTCCTATCAATTTGAATACATTTAGCCTAGACTATATGGTCAGGGAAATCTTTATATATGCACAAAAGCAACAGCAAAAATACATCTTGAAAAAGAGGTATCATCAGTGAATGGTGAGACAGGGTGATCCAGTATCTCCAAAACTGTTTACCCCAAATTTGTTTTTTCTCACACTAGCATATTTTGTATCAAACACACTTCTTTTTATTTATGTATTTCTACAATGAATTCTGAAGTTCATGTTTCCACTTCAGGTATCGTACCTCTAGCACTATTTCACAGGCTGCGGGTGATGGATACCCGTCATTGGATTTCTCTGCTATTATCTGCTGTGAGATCAATCAATATATGGGTCAACCTCCTTCTCCTGAACTTGCCCCACTAATTCTCCTGAACAAGCTGAACCAGTTCGAGCCAATGAAGATTTGATAGCTTTTTTACACCACTGGATTTTGCTGTATATTTCATTAACCCTCCTGCAAAATCATTTAGGCCTAATATGGCACTTTTTGATGTTATTTCTCAGGTGTGTGATGTTTTTTTCACTGCCCTGCCTTCCTATGATTCCTTATTACCTCCTCCTTGGATCATTTGTCATCTTCAGCTCCCTGCTTTCCTATGATTCCTTATCACCTCCTCCTTGGATCATTTGTCATCTTCAGCTCCCTGCTTTCCTATGATTCCTTATTACCTCCTCCTTGGATCATTTGTCATCTTCAGCTCCCTGCTTTCCTATGATTCCTTATTACCTCCTCCTTGGATCATTTGTCATCTTCAGCTCTTCCTTTACACATGTGGTTTCATTGTTGTTGGAATTTTCTGGATCCCAATGCAATCTTGTCTGAGTTCGTTTGCCACCTCTTTCTTTTAGGGATTTACATTTGGCCCTTTTTCTTTGGTGGTATGTTTTTGATCATGTACCTGAAACCTCCCAGATAGCAAATGTTTATTGGCCCAACTCTGGCATTGTAGTGGGCGTATATTGAAAGTGCAATTCTTACTGGAACTACCATTTAGACCTAATGTATATTACATCAGTTTGAATGTGTAAGATAAGTCTGTAAAGGTAATAAAACGTTTGATTGGAAATTTAGCTTTCTCATAATGAAACAAGATATCTTGACTGAGAATGAGATGGTTATGGATTCAATTTTTCATGAATATCATACTAATACTAATTTGAATACCATGTTTTTGAAAATTGCTATTTATCATTTAACAAAATTCATCATTTGCACAATATACCATTGTTATATTATTGTTATAACATATGAATAACAGCTCTATAAATCTTGAAACTGCCAATGTCTATATTACTCAAGAAATTTAGATTAAGAAAGTATTAGATTTTGTGTGCAGGAAGAAATTTCCATACTAAAAATAAACATCCTGGAGCTTCTTGCTGTAGGTCGTGTTTTTGGTTCATTTTCTCCATCTGGCAAGAAATAGTCGGGTAAGGATCCATTCCAACTTTTCTCCAGTGGTTGCTTATCTCAATCACCTGTGTTGAACCCATTCTTGATCTTTCTGTATTTATACAGTGGATCTTTTTTTGGTCCACATGCTCGATATTCATATCATTGTGTGTCGAGTTCTTGGTGCTTTCACGTTTGTCATAGATCAGATTCTCCTCACATTGAAGCTTTTGCTATATCCCTTAACAACAAATTGCCCTGGATGTGGTCTACAGTCCCTTTTTTTCTTTTTCTGGCTATCGATGTTTTCAGCCAGGAATGAACCAACACATTTGTCTATCCTTCCATTCTCATTCTTCTCCAGGTGATTTTGATCATCCTTGACACTTCTTGTTCAGTCCTTCTCATAGTTCCTTCCTGGCCATCTCAGCTGTGGTTTCCGCAGCTTCTCCAGCTCCAACTTCCTCCGTTATCTTTTCACCTGACTCCATCTCTCCTTTGTCACCCTAGATCATCAATGTTTCATCTGGACTTTCCTGTCCTTTGTCTTCATGCCTTGTTTTCCTCTGGTCATTGGCAAGGAGATACAGCTTCCCCTGACAGTTTAGCTTCTTTTCTGGCTTGTTTCATTTGCTCTTCCTCCATGGAAGTTTCTTAACTTGGAATGTTTTTTGTTGTTGGTTTCTGGGTCCAAGATTTCCCCCTGATCAACCCACTGTTCCTCATCATGCAGATTTCCTAACTTGACTTTTGGATTGGGGGTCATTTGGATTTTCAGGCAGCCCTGTCCCACACCTTTCATTTTTCCTGATACTGCAGGTATTTAACTCTCGTACACTTTACCTGTTAAGATGTTTTTTCTGGATTCACTGTTCACCATGGCAGGCTGCTCTTCTGGATGGGGATATTAATGTGGTCCTACACCGCCTCATTTTGGCTATGTTTGAACCATTATCCCTATGCTCCTTGTTTCACCTTTTCCTTATGTTTTCATTCCGTTTCCTATTCATCTATTGACATTGGTGATCTGTTTATTTGTCATTGATGTTTCACGGACTCTTTATCCTTTTTCCAGATTGTTTTTCCTCCCTAATTCTTTGGTGGCTAGTGTTGATAACTGCTCCATTTCACCGCTTTCCCTTCCTTCCGATTCTCACCCTTATCCTTAGTCTGATATGGATAGATTTCTAGGTCATGTAAAGGTCTACTCTGTTATAATGTCTGCACAGCTTCCTTCTGTGGTGCCTGTTCCTGCCTCTTTCTTCCTTGGCAGCCATCCTTTGTTCATGACCTTTCTCCTTCCACCTTCACCAATTGGGTTTGGTTCTTAATTCAATTGGGTTATTCCTCTGTATCATCTTCTTCCCATACTTTGTCTTCTCATCCAATTCCACACCTTACCTTTTCGTTGCCTTTTCATCTTCATCGTGCCTTGGAGGTACTTCTTCAGTCGGGCATGTGGACTACCCATAATATGTTAATCTCACACTATTTGCATTGGATCACTGTTTTTTCCTCTTCAGGCTATTGTCTTCTGCCTGTAGCCATTCTTCAGAATTCAGTGAGACTTTGACTGGGTAAGTTATTTTTTGTTATTCTTTCCTTTTCAGGGGCCCTTTTCTCTTTTGTTACAGCTCAGTGTTTGGATCCCACTCTGTGGCAAGTGGTGCTTGACCAGGTATTCTTTAACAAATCAAATCTGCACTGTATGGCCTTGTCAACTTAATATTATATTTCCACAGCCACACAACACACACTGCAGAAATGGACTCTTCCAAATTATCACTTGTAGGTTTATCCTCGTGATGAATTTTTTAACAAAAATTTACCTGTACTGGATTGTACTCACCCATTGACTACATGGGTAAAGCAAAAGGGGATAGTTGCCTATCCCTGCCAGGTATTTGATAAATCGGTCTGGTCTACTATTAAAAATAAAGTTTCATGGTCAGCCATTGCAGTGTCTCAGGGGTTGTCACTCCTCTGTACTCTCCACCATGTTTTACCCCCTCCCTATCTTCTAATGGAGTTTGAGAGTCCTTACCACTTTCCAGTTCCAAGCTGCTGGGGTGGTGGGCCATCGAGGCATCCTCCTGAATGGGTTAATGAAATACACAATATAAACAAAATATTGAAATGATTATATGACCATTCAGTTGAGAGTAGGGTGGTGGTGTTCTGCTGGTGAAGTTGACATGGTATCCTCCATTATGAAACAAATATAAATGGAGTGAGGCATCACAACCCCTTTGACTGGGATTCTTCATCTTACCCCCACATGGATGTTGGTTCCCAGTGGCTGGGTATTGGATTTAAAGTTGAACCAATCAACATAAGTTCTCACACATGTCCAACAGATGTCTATATTCCTCCCTCAACTATACTCTTGTTACTCCATCCTTCTTGTGGGTCACAATGGAGGTACTTTCAGATTATTACTGTTCTTTCCCTTCTGCTTTCCCTCGATGCTTATTATTCCAAAGATGTTAATGTACTTGGGGCCATTCTGGTCCGTTTCACTTTTAATGCAGATGGTTTACATTACGCAGACATCTTTTTGATACCAGTTGTTGGGTTCCTGGATCGATCTATCAGTTTCTTATATTAACAAGTGCTCCATTCATAGGTCTGGGAGGTTTTTGATTCCCTCTGGCCTCATGAACTTGAGGTGAAGATGGTATGATCCTCATTCCTACCCCCACAAGATGGCTGGGTTTTGGATTGTAGTTGATTTGCCAAAAGTATGATATTTTTTTCTACCTCCACATGGATGTCAGTTCCTGGTGACCTGGGTTTTGGATTGTACTCGACCTTCCAATTGTATGATCCTCTTTCCTACCCCCACATGAAGTTCGGTACCCACTGGCAGGGTTTTAGATTGTAGTTGACTTACCGACAGTATGATCCTCATCCTACCCCTGCCTGGATGTCAGTTCTCAGTGACATGGGTTTGGATGTAATTGACGTACCACCAGTATGATCCACATGGATACCGGTTCCCAGTGGCCAGGTTTTGGATTGGAGAGATAAAAGGCTTGTGGCATACATAAAAAACAGTTTTGCATATACAGGGCAGCACTGAGCAAGAATAGCTATTTATGTGAATGGAAGTAAGTACCTATCGGAAATACATTTTCAGTATGGGAAAATTATTTCATGTTGGCTTCTACTTACATGTTAGCCAGTTTTCCTACAAATTATACAATGTGTTATATACACACACAGTGAAATTGTGATAACAGTGTAAAATGTAAAATATCATAAGTATGGAAGTACTTGTATAGTAAGAATGGGGAGGATACACAATACAAACTATTTACTCATATATACCTTTAACAATAATAAATCTTCAAAAGTATTTCAGAGATGCCCTTAGATAATAAACAAACCACATTCAAAATTACAAGTTATAGAACAACTTGAGAAAGTCAGCAGAACAGATACAAAATCACAAAGTTTTCAATCTCATTGACTGACTTTGTTGAATGCTTATTATTGTTATAAGTGCACCAAAAGGAAGAGCTATTTGACATACAGCAAGTAATACCTTGAACAGGGACACCATTTTAAAATACATATGTCTGCTTGCTCAGTCCTTATACTGAGTAGGTGTGGTCAAATAACGCAGTGAAGGGGGTGCAGTGTTCTTGATCTACAGCACTATGTGACAAAGTCTGAAAACTGTAAGTAGTATGGGGTATGCCAACATAGGGTGAGCCTTATGAGAAGCTTCACTATCTAGGCTAGAAGACAAGGTATGCTCTTTTGCAAAGAAAATTTATAATAGTATTGTAAATTAAATCAAGTTTGCATCCATGAAACATTTAATAGGTAGCATGGAAGTCTACAGCCAGTTTTTCTGAGTCTACAGGTAGTTCAAACTGCTACAGCCAGTTTTTCTGAGTCTACAGCTAGTTC